AAGGAGAAGTTACAACAGACACCACAGAAATACAAAGCATCTTAAGAGACTGCTACAGGCAACTCTATGCCAGTAAAATGGACAACCTGGAAGAAATGGACAAATGCTTAGAAAGTATAACTTCCAAGACTGAACCAGGAAGAAATAGAAAATATGAACAGACCAATCACAAGCAATGAAATTGAAACTGTGATTAAAAATCTTCCAACAAACAAAAGTCCAGGACCAGATGGCTTCACAGGTGAATTCTATCAAACATTTAGAGGAGAGCTAACACCCATCCTTCTCAAACTCTTCCAAAAGTTGCAGAGGAAGGAACACTCCCAAACTCATTCTATGAAGCCACCATCACCCTGATACCAAAACCAGACAAAGATACTACAAAAAAAGAAAATTACAGACCAATATCACTGATGAATATAGATGCAAAAATCCTCAACAAAATACTAGCAAACAGAATCCAACAACACATTAAAAGGATCATACACCATGACCAAGTGGGATTTATCCCAGGGATGTAAGGATTCTTCAGTGTATGCAAATCAATCAATGTGATACACCATATTAACAAATTGAAGAAGAAAAACCATATGATCATCTCAACAAATGCAGAAAAAGCTTTTGACAAAATTCAACACCCATTTATGATAAAAACTCTCCAGAAAGTGGGCATAGAGGGAGCCTACCTCAACATAATAAAGGCCATATAGGACAAACCCACAGCAAACATCATTCTCAATGGTGAAAAACTGAAAACGTTTCCTCTAAGATCAGGAACAAGACAAGGATATCCACTCTCGCCAGTATTATTCAACATAGTTTTGGAAGTCCTAGCCACGGCAATCAGAGAAGAAAAAGAAATAAAAGGAATACAAATTGGAAAAGAAGAAGTAAAACTGTCACTGTTTGCAGATGACATGATACTATACATAGAGAATCCTAACGATGCCACCAGAAAACTACTAGAGCTAATTAATGAATTTGGTAAAGTTGCAGGATACAAAATTAATGCACAGAAATCTCTTGCATTCCTATACACTAATGATGAAAAATCTGAAAGAGAAATTAAGGAAACACTCCCATTTACCATTGCAACAAAAAGAATAAAATACCTAGGAATAAACCTACCTAGGGAGACAAAAGACCTGTATGCAGAAAACTATAAGACACTGATGGAAGAAATTAAAGATGATACCAACAGATGGAGAGATATACCATGTTCTTGGATTGGAAGAATCAATATTGTGAAAATGACTATACTACCCAAAGCAATCTACAGATTCAATGCAATCCCTATCAAATTAACAATGGCATTTTTTATGGAATTAGAACAAAAAATCTTAAAATGTGTATGGAGACATAAAGGACCCCGAATAGCCAAAGCAGTCTTGAGGGAAAAAAAACGGAGCTGGAGGAATCAGACTCCCTGACTTCAGACTATACTATAAAGCTACAGTAATCAAGACAATATGGTACTGGCACAAAAACAGAAACATAGATCAATGGAACAAGATAGAAACCCCAGAGATAAACTCACGCACCTATGGTCAACTAATCTATGACAAAGGAGGCAAGGATATACAATGGAGAAAAGACAGTCTCTTCAATAAGTGGTGCTGGGAAAACTGGACAGCTACATGTAAAAGAATGAAATTTGAACACTCCCTAACACCATACACAAAAATAAACCCAAAATGGATTAGAGACCTAAAGGTAAGACCAGACACTATAAAACTCTTAGAGGAAAACATAGGAAGAACACTCTTTGACATAAATCACAGCAAGATCTTTTTTGATCCACCTCCTAGAGTAATGGAAATAAAAACAAAGACAAACAAATGGGACCTAATGAAACTTAAATGTTTTGCACAGCAAAGGAAACCATAAACAAGATGAAAAGACAACCTTCAGAATGGGAGAAAATATTTGCAAACGAATCAACGGACAAAGGATTAATCTCCAAAATATATAAACAGCTCATGCAGCTCAATATTAAAAAAGCAAACAACCCAATCAAAAAATGGGCAGAAGACCTAAATAGACATTTCTCCAAAGAAGACATACAGATGGCCAAGAAGCACATGAAAATCTGCTGAACATCACTAATTATTAGAGAAATGCAAATGAAAACTACAATGAGGTATCACCTCACACCAGTTAGAATGGGCATCATCAGAAAATCTACAAACAACAAACGCTGGAGAGGGTGTGGAGAAAAGGGAACCCTCTTCCACTGTTGGTGGGAATGTAAATTGATACAGCCACTATGGAGAACAATATGGAGGTTCCTTAAAAAACTAGAAATAGAATTACCATATGGTCCAGCAATCCCACCACTGGGCTTCTACCCAGAGAAAACTATAATTCAAAAAGACACATGCACCCCAATGTAAAGAGTGCTGCACCCCAATTGCAGCACTCTTTACAATAGCCAGGTCATGGAAGCAACCTAAATGCCTGTTGACAGACGAATGGGTAAAGAAGATGTGGTACATATATACAATGGAATATTACTCAGCCATAAAAAGCAACGAAATTGGGTCATTTGTTGAGATGTGGATGGATCTAGAGACTGTCATACAGAGTGAAGTAAATCAGAAAGAGAAAAACAAATATCGTATATTAACTCATATATGTGGAACCTAGAAAAATCGTACAGATGAACTGGTTTGCAGGGCATAAATTGAGACATAGATGTAGAGAACAAATGTACGGACACCAAGGGGGGAAAGCGGCGGAGGGAGGTGGTGGTGGTGTGATGAATTGGGAGATTGGGATTGACATGTATACACTGATGTGTATAAAATTGATGACTAATAAGAACCTGCTGTATAAAAAATATATACATATGCTAAAACAAATTAGCATATAGATATTATTCATAATTATGAGTTTGAATCTTGAAGAACATGTCAAATTATGCTGTGGATTTCCAGTAATATCAGTTAATACATAGGAAATATTCAAAGCTCTATCGCTTAAAAAGGCAGTCGCCCAGTTATCTGAAAAATTCAAGCATGCAAACTATTTCTCTTCTAGATAGGCTGCATAAAGCCAGTATTGTATATCTCCTCCTTGTTCTTTTGTTCACATTTAAATTTTTCTTTTAATGGGATTTTTAGTTTATAATCTTATCTACATCCCTTTAGGATTCTTTAGCTTTAAAGAGCCCCACTTTAAAAAAGATGATCTATTTGGTCCTTCACATTTTTCTGTGGTTTTGGTAAGTCCACCACCACATGGACTACCCTGAATTTTATGACATATGCTTCCTTAATACCTAACTCTCTCCCCAGGAGGAAATCAGGCATCCTTGGAACAGACTTCATTTTCACATAAGTATATGGATATTGTTTTAGTACAAATTAAAAAATGTTAATAAATAAATACATTCCAGGAATATTTTTTGAGTGCCCACTGAATGTCAGATCTGTGCCAGGAGCTGGACATACAAAGATGTACCAAGGTCCTGCCTTCATGGCATTTACATTCTCTTGAAAGAAGCAGATGGGAAAACATGTGCAGCTACAAAAGAACTGATGAGCATAGATGGACAGGAACAGCGTGTGGTGGGAGCACAGAGAAGGAACACTTCCATCTGTCTGGAGGGGCTGTGACAGCTTCCTCCAGGAGGGGATTAATCTCGACACTCAGTGGATGAGCTTGACATTTGCTGATCGGATTTGTGGGGAATACAGTTAATAGCACAGAGTTAAGAAAGACCCTGTTGTAGCATAAGGGCGTAACTGTTCTGATAACTGAGAGACTGTACGTGTCAGAAGTAATGCAGCTTACCTTTTCCATGAAGATATGTAAAGATCACACACATGAGTTAATTCACATTACAAAATGCAAACTATACAAAAGTATATACACAAGAATCTTTTTTTATTTCTCTTTCCCAATCTTACTCCCATTCACAGCATTTCTTGGCATTATATATATTGAAGTGTATACCTTCTACCATATATAAATCCATTGTTTTAGCTTGTTTTTTACCTAAATATTATATATATATTTATGCACACAGGCATATATATATTTCTGCAGCAGCTTGCTTTATTCGTTAACAAAAATATTTCTTGGAGTTCCTTTCATGCTAGTACCTAAAGCTCCATTTCATTTTTAACTACTACATAGTATTTCATTACAAGGCTGTGGCATAATTTATGTAAACGTTTCCCATTGATGGACATCTACTTTTTCCCCCTAAATTTTTGCTCTTATAAATAACGCTGTAATGAAAATGCACATACATCTTGAAGCATATATATGGCAAGTTCTGTGGAATAAATGCCTAGATTCAAAAATGGGACTTTTCTCTCTTCCTTGAGAGGTGGCTGGATAGGTACGGAGCCCGTACCCCTGGGCTGTCGGGCTCCTTTGGAGATCATTTCTGTTTGTTCCCCAAACCAAAGTCCCTGGGAGTGTCTGACCTGGTGGCCTTATCCCTTATGCCTTTTTAGCTGTATTATTTCCTGTTTCATAATGAGGCTGGAAGAACAGATGTCCCATATCATGTACCAATTCCTCTGCTGTGGGTGTCAGGCCAGAGAGCTGGCATCTCAGAAGTGCGCCTACTCAGGGAAGTGTTAGTTGGGTGAAGTGGAAACTATAATTTAGGACTATATTGCATGTACTTTATACATTTAGTAGACTTCAGGGTCTTAACAAAGAATACCATTATTTCAGTCAATAAAAAATGCAAATCATTTATTTTAAGCAGTTTTTGAAACAGGAGTCATAGGTTTGGGGTATTTCTTATAAGGATATTTGTGTATGGGTATGTTTTTAGATTCTTTATTAAATTTCCTTATCCTAGTTGAAAAACTAAAAAAAATCCCAAATCTATTTAATAAAGGGAATGAGTTCTAATCAGTCATCAATTTTTCCTATATTGCTGAATGGCTATTTCCAGTTCATTTCAAAAGCAATTCAATTTTCTTTTCTTCTCCATCCCTTGTTTATAACATTCATTTGTCATTTTTGTCATTTTATAGACCTACCAAGAGCAGCTGTCAGGATCTTAAGCAACATGACATTCCTTTTTGTGAGTTTGTCATACACAGCTGAGAGTGCCATTGTAACTGCTTTCATTACCTTCATTCCCAAGTTCATCGAGTCACAGTTTGGTATTCCAGCTTCCAATGCCAGCATCTACACTGGTAAGGCACTGCCGTTAGAACTCCTTGAAACCATGATCATTTTTGACCACTAAACTAAAATGCAATGAGTAAAGAGAAAGTTCGTTCTAACATCAAGGTGTTAAATTCAAGTTCATGAACAGCAACCTTCCCCCACCTCAGATTTTAGGAGGAGGAAGTCTTTGAATGTTTTCTCTTCGATTCAGATTGTACTAAAGTGTAACATTTTCACCAACTGTGTTTTGGAAAAGGGAGAACTTTGCATATTTGTGTTTTTACGGTTCTCAGTTCAAAAAAATGAAATGGGCAAACTTAAATCTGAATAAATCTTTTCATGGTCTGATATGAGTCTGAAAGTGTTAAATTTTAAAAAATTGATGGTCTGAAATATAGATCATTTTCATGGATTTTTCATGCATAAATGTGAACACGTTTTAACTGCATTACTGGAGGTGCTTGAAGTTCGAAAGGCAATCTATGAATTTTGTTTTCGATGATGTTTTATGTTGGTACATAGACCCATAATACTTTGTGCTCAAATCTTTTTTTTTTCCATAGTAAATTGGGTGCTCAGAAATGTGGGAACATGAATTCTCAGATATTGGGATTTTCAGTGTATTATATCATGTAATATCCTGGATGTTTCCTTAGAGATTTCAAAGATGGTCAAATGACTGTATCTACCTAAGGCTCAATTTATTAATAAAGTATATTTAAGCGGTTAAGTGGAGAATTACAAGAGCTTTTGCAATGGCCGGCTCCCACTTTTCTCCTTCACTTCCACATTCAAACCCAGCAAGCTTGGATTATCTGAAAATTAGAGGACAAAATTATATTATTGTATAGAAAGAGAAGTCAAACTATTTGGGTAATCATTTTGTTCTCTATTTCATTTTGCCCATAAAAATACATACATGTTGGGTTGTGGGTCCATGATAGCAAATCTTTTTATAGAGTATACTGCTATGGACATTTTAATTGTCACCTATAAATCTGTTTTTTTCTGTTGGTTTTAAATAATATACGTTTTGCTTATATTAAGGTAAAATTTACAGATTATAATTACATTAATTATTAATTAATGTAATTAATTAATAATGTAATTAATTAACTACATTATAATTTGGTTGTCAGAAATCCTGAACATCCTATTTTTTGTTTAATTCTTACACTAACCTTTGTTGAGCAACAATTCTTGGACAGGGAAACCACGAGTTGTCTTGTTGTTAGATCTGAAGCCATGTAACTGTCAGATGTGGTCTCAGTATTTCCCACAATAAGTTTCAATATTAGAGGTGTTACTGGAAAGAAGGTTCATAGTCAAATAAATTGGGGGCTTGCTGAGTTAAACAAAATAGTACAGAGTCCTTTGCTGCTGGACTTTTCATAACCCTTAATATACCAATGTGCATTGTGAAACTCCCAAAGGAAAGTTCAAAGTACAGTCTCTCCTAAATTTATTTGACCATGAAATCTGATTTCTTTAAGGCATTCTTTCTCATGAATAGTGTTCTTCAGGACACACATCAGTCCAGCCTGTGTGTCCCTGTTCCAGCCAGGCTAGGGAGGAGATCCTTCTGGATCATCCCATGTCCCTCCAGATGCACCATTTGGACCTCGAGAGTTACCAGGCTGTGGTCCAGTGCTGAGCTGGGTAGGAATGGATGCGTATTGAACCCATATTGACCAAGGCCATCTCTTAATTACTGGTTGAGGCAGAGGCTAGATAGACAACTTTCTGTGGACCTGGGGTCTTTGGCTGCAGAGTTCCACAGTGAAGTGCTCAAGGCAGTGGTCTCTGAGTGTGGCCTTCTTGGTGAAGAGGGTAAACGATTGAATAAAACTAAATCACGGAATTTGTTCATCCCACGTTCCAACATCCAGGTTAAAAAGCAGCAGTATCACACAGTGCCAATGCCATTCTGGTTTTGTCATCAGCAGCTTTTTTTGTTTTTGATCATTGCCAATGCAATTTATACAATGTTTGGTAGTCTTCGGTGTTTTGATAAAAAGGCCTTTCATTTCCAGCTCACGTACTTTTTCCTTCCTTTCCAGACAGATAACAAACAGTAATAGTCAAGAGATATTCAGACTGATTAAGAGTAGAGAGTGGCCTGTCATATTGCGGTAAAATTAAACAGGCATGACGCTTCTTTTTAAAACTTATGTCGATTTTTTGAATTTGTATCAATTGAATCCTTCTTACTCTCTAAGCAGAGATTTGTATTTTTTAAGGACTTATTTAATTTAATTTTTTGTATTTAAACCCCGTTCCCTGCACATAAGTGACATGGAGAATTAAGAAGTGTATCTGAAGATGAATTTAAAAATAGTTTAAATTTCTCCTCTGACAAAGTTTTCGAGTTAAAGTTCTTTCTTCATTTAAAAAAATTACCTGACCCTCCATAGCAGTTTGCTTGTGTTGTGTTATATGGTAGAGATGAAGCTCCGTACATGTATCGAAGATGGGCCTTTGCTCACTCGCCCTCTCTCGTAGCCATTGAATACCGACGCCGGGCACGGTGCTGTGCCGTGTGTGTGTGGTGTGTGTGTGGTGTGTGTGTGTCGTGTGTGTGTGTTGCCTGTGTGGTGTGTGTGTTGTGTGTATTATGTGTGTGTTGAGTGTTGTGTGTGTTGTGTGTGTGTTGTGGTGTGTGTGTGTTTGCTGTGTGTGTGTGTTGTGTGTGTGTGTTTGTGTGTGTGTGTATGTAGGCAGGTGGACACGGGGCGGGGCAGATATAAAGGCTCAAACCTGGACCTTAAGGTGCTTACAGATCTAAGAGGAGAGAGCTTACAAAATAAGTTTAGAAAAAGCTGTTTAAATAAATGAATGGAAGCTGTGCGCTACAGAGATTATTTTGGCCGGCGGCGTGGCGGTGTTGAGCTGCGTGTCATGGTGGAAATGGCTTTTAACCAGGCTTTTAAGGAGAAGTAGAATTGGACCGTTTGGAGTCTGGAGGAAAGGCGTTTGCTCTCTGTGCAGGACCAACTTGAACAAAGGCAAAGAGCAGGGAAGGCTGAGGCTTGTTCTGGCTCCAGCCAGCACCCCCGGCCCCAGAAAAGCTTTCCTCGGACAGACATGAGAGGGCTCTAAAGGCAAGCAGGTGAGAGGTGGGCTGAGCGGCGGTGGAGAGGTGAATGCTTTCAGATGTTGCTGTGGGGGGGCACCTTCAGCACCACTGGGCTCATCTCATCATCACATTGGGGGCCCCTGTGCCCTGAGAGGAGGTGGTGACACTCATGAGTGTGTCACTAAAACACCTTCAGCCCACTGGTGTTCGTTCCTGTGCAACAGTGGATATGTGGTCACGCTGCACCCTCCCTGTTTATGGTCTTTCTGCTGACTCCCTTAGGGTCACATTTATTGAATGAAATGAAATTGATATTTTGGAAAAGCCTGAAATAGCGGGAAAAGCCCTGCAGGAGGAGTTAGACGGAGCGGTCATGAACCCTGCCCTGCTGGTCACCAACTCTGTGACTTTGGGCAGGTCACTTAACTCCCTGAACTTCAGCTAAAACTGAACTTTATCTGTCTGATGAGGATAATATCTCCCCTCTCTCTGTGTCAGTGTTGTTGTCAGGATCAAATGAAGTAGTAAATAATGATTTGTTCCAGAGCTTACCTAACTTCAATAGGTACAGCAGTATAAATTGAAAAATATAACTTAATTATGTATTCTAGGAAATAAAATTATTTATGATGATGATGACAGCACCTTACGTTTGAAGTCCTGCATCTTGAACAGGTCTGAGAATGAAACCTCTGTAATAATAGTGATGGTAATAAAATGACTGATAATATTTGTTGAGTGTTTGCTAAGTAGAAGATGCTAAGTATTTTTATACGTAAAACATCATTTAATCCATGTAACTAATGCCTATGCAGTAGGTATTATTGATTATGCCCATTTTTCAGATGAGGTAACAAAGGTCCAGAGAGGTTTAAATAACTTGCTTGAAGACGTGCAAACAGTAAGAGCCAGGAGGCTGGAGTCTTGTACTCCTTGGAGCATATAAATGTGCATATATGATTTTTATTGAAATACTATAATAGGCATATTCTATTGTCATAATTTCCAGTCAGTTTGTGGGTTTTTTTTTGGTTTTTAACTATTTCTGGAGAAATGATAGTCTAAGATTCTACTTTGCCACCAAACCATGGTCAACAACTTTTGTTTTTAGAGCACTGTGGCCTCTCAGCATCACCTTGGCTTTCCTGGGATCCCACCCTTTGTGTGCAGAATTATGAAGAGTTAGCCATTTGTTTGTCTTTACAACGGAAATCGCCTTGGAAAACTCTATTTTGTTTTTCATTGGAGAATAATCAAGATACTGGGTTGACCAAAAAGTTTGTTTGGGTTGAATGAATTTTTGGCCAACCTAATACTTTTTTTTCTGTGTCTTGAAAAGATAAGGAGATTAGGTTGGGGTGTGATTTTTAAAAATAGACTGTAATTTTTATTGCTTTCTGATTAACCAAATATTTGTCACCTATCTTCAACCACTGATTTCGAGTCATTGATGAGAGTCAAGGCGGTGCCCCTGAACTCAAATTGCAGCCTCAGATTTGTTGCGTCTTTAGATGCAAGTGAAACATGAACATGCTTTGATTGGTTTCATTCTTCTGAGAGCATTAACAGCTTTTCTAGAGCCGTTCTTCTATGAGATAGTTTTTTTTTTTCCTCTCACTGTTGTGGCCTCTTCCGTTGCAGAGCACAGGCTCTGGACGCGCAGGCTCAGCGGCCATGGCTCACAGGCCCAGCCGCTCTGCAGCATGTGGGATCTTCCCAGACCGGGGCACGAACCTGTATCCCCTGCATTGGCAGGCGGACTCTCAACCACTGCGCCACCAGGGAAGCCCCTATGAGATAGTTTTTAAAGTTCATTTTGTACTAATTTTATAAATGTATACAAAGATTTTTTTAACGTTAAAATTAACCTTTTAAATGCAGATAGACTGTATTAGGTGTGGATGTACTGTAGCATCACTGGCCATTTCCCAAAACTAATTACATTAGTTT